TAAAAAGGGACGGGCTCCTGGCCGTGGATGGAGAGAAGAATATACGAGGCGAAGTAGCTTTCCACATGACACAATGCAAAGGGCAAAGCACTATCATGGCCTACTCTTTCAGAGGCAAGCGAGCTTGATTTGTGAATTTTCATATTTTCATTGCTTTTTTACTCATGTTACAGGTACAGTGCCACAGATGCCCTCAAGTTTGTTGGAATTGAGCGCGATGTAGACTTTGCTTTGAGATAAAAAGTTAACATGTATACATATTAAAAACAAAATAACGAATACAAACATTTAGCATATCTCTTTACAAAGGTAATTACTTTTGATAGAGAAAAATAAAAGTAACTTTTTCATTGTTTTTGGAAAGTAATGGTCGTATTGTGTGATGTTTATAGAATATATTAATGGAGTTACTCGGAAGGCTCCGACCGATTTGAAACTGGTTCATGGGGTCCTTGACGTTTCCGTCTGAGTTTGGGAGATTCTGCCTTTATCGAACGGGTCCATCCGATTTGGGACGGGTGCGTCCGATTTTGGACGATTTATTCCGATTTTGGACGGATATGTTTTTTTCAGTGATCTGTCAGCTTTCAGACTTCTTTTGTGTCAGTGAGTGGGCGAGTGACTACAAGATTAGCATTAGGAAGGATGTATTGTATGTTGTGTTAAAACCATTCCCTGCAGACCTGCAGAGGCTAAAAAGGCTAATCGCTTTACCTTATTTGATACAGGAGCTTTAGTGCATGGAAAAATCTTGTTGTCCTAAATTGGTCAGCCTTCAAATTTCTTTCGTTCTGTATTATTCCCGGTCGTATGCTCAGAACTGATAATGGGTTCTCTTTCCTCCTTAATTTCAAATAAAGAAGAACTTTTTCAGTGAAAAGTTATTTTTCAGGCTTGGAAACGTCGACGCTACTCGACTCACGCTTCATACGTCCTGCTCGAGTATTGTGTGGATTTTGTACTACTGACGTCAGAGGGCGCGAAGCTTTGTATTCGGCTATGTGAGTGTAGTTGTGTAAATAAGCCATCGTAGATAAAGAAACGGATTTGTTTGTTTTGAGATGAAAGTACCCTGTCAACCGTTCGGAAATATTGGCCATCATTTGCATTCTGTCAGTAAGGCGACAGGAAAAGTGAAAGGTTTTTGTTGGACAGTTGCTAAACTGTCCCGTTTACGGATGATTTTGACAACCATTGGCTACAAACTGTGGGCATTTGAAGTTTCCTTTTAATCGAATTATTTGGCTGGTTCAACTTGACGAGTTTGTTTAACAGCTGACTTACGCCAGGAGACGCCGAAATGTTATGGAAGCTCGTTGGTGACCTGAGACAAACAAGATGACTTCATCTTGTTTTTAGTACTGTGACAAGCAAAGCATTTTGCCACACGTTACGTGTTACATTGTACTTATTATTTGTCGTTTATATCGTTAATTACAGTTTGATACGTGCAGAGCAGCTGTTTATGTCAAATTCCAGCGTTCATGAAGTTATGTGTTTTGCCGAACATACACCAACAAAATTTTACATGACACAATGCTATGTAGAGAATGAAACATTGTGAAGGCAGTTCAAAAGTTGAAACTTTGTTGCTTAAACTTGTTTTCATGCTTCCAAGCCATTGTGAATAAAATGGCAGATAGTGAAGTACTTCAAGGGGAAGCCAAGAGTGTTCAAAGTAACACTGTTACAGTACTGGTCGAAACACCGGTCATCATTACGGAGGAGGCCAACGAAAGCGATGGAAAATCTCGTACATCGTCGATCGCCTGGTCGTCTTCTCCGAGTTTGAATCAAAGAAGTGCGGAAAAGTTTCGAAGTTTAAAACGGCGATCATCAGTGGAAAATTTTGGACAATTTGGCTTCTTGGTTCCTGCTCTGTCTCTTGTTCCTCATGCTGACGGGGTAGGCTTAAAACTTTATTTGTTTATTTAGATAATAAAGCTTAGAGAAAATTAACCATTCAATAGTGCCTACATATAGGTTGTGTATTGCGGTGGGCAGCTTTTTGCGGTGAAAAATTTTCCCTAATTTGATCAACGAACTGTCACTACATGATAATTATAATTAAAGAGTTTAGTGTGCGTGTTAATTATTCGAGAATTTCAAGAGATGTTTTGTAATTAGGCCAAAATTGTGCAATCGGAATATCTCGTTGATCGACTCTTAGAAGTTAGACGTGTCTTGAAATTATGATCGTGATTATAAATTATTTAATGAGCTTGGTGATAAAATCTAAATCTATTAGCCCAAGGGCTTAATAGTATGTCTTAAAGATACGTATACACCACCAGCATTACTGGATAATAAGGTGATTTTATGGAATGGGGCCAAACTCAGTTATCTTACATGAACTGTACTTCTTAAGAAGAAGGCAACAGTAAATTGTAAACTGTAAGAAGATGAATTCTACTCATATTTTGATTGGTTCTTTGTTTTGATCTATCTGCTTACAGTCACATAGATGAGGTCACCATTAAGAACTTTTCATTTCGTTATCACATTAAACGAATAGATTCCGTTTTGCGGTAGGACTGTACAGGAACAGATCATGGAGGACGTTAAAATCTCGGTTGCGCTTTGTGTGCCATTTTTTTTCTTACCAAATTTTGACATCATCTGTGCCACATTACTGCACAGGCCCACAGTAAAAGGGAATCTATTTGTTAATTAAAGGCCATCATTTATGGGCACAACCAGTAAAATCCAGCTTGTAAGCATCATGCAAAGTTATTTTGTTGTGAATGACTACTTTACTTAACCTTTTGCCTTCCAAGGTCTGTTGTCATGGCACCACATACGTACATTTTGATAAGAAATTAAAGTTATCCAGAGTTCATCTTTGATATGTTTCGTGTTTTCAGGCTGATGCTCTCACCCAGCAGTTTGGTGATCTTCAAGGTAGTCACAGAGAACTAAAACTAGCCTCAGCTCACATTGATGATGCACTCAAGGGAAGGTAATGGTAATCAGTAGTAATTAAAACAGAAAGCAATCCCCTGCTGATGCATGTGGATCCAAAATAGGACTCCATCAGCAAATACCTAAAGTATGATGTCACCAAGTTCCCTGGCAAATTGGAAGTTTTTCTGTCATGTCAGTTCATGTCACAAGAATCTGTAGTCCTCTTCTAATTTCCTGACATGGAGTCTCCAGAGGGTCCCCTATACCCCGTAGGAAAACTCAGTCACCTAAAAAATATTTGGCCTTTTCACACCTCATGAATAATATATCCAAAACTCTTTCACATTCACCCAAAATTTAGGATAATCATGTTGAATTAATATTCTTACTTTTTCTCGTCTTGACAAGTCTTGCACAACAAAAGATGATGCAATTATTTATTGAAGAGAAGTAGATGGGTCTCCCTCTCCAAAGGATGTTGTGTGGGAGACAGTTGCCTAACCAATAGCGTTCATGTCACAAGAATCTGTAGTCCTCTTCTAATTTCCTCACATGCAGTCTCCAGAGGGAGACTCCCACAGTGCCTGTCTCTCCATTTAAAGTATAAATGGGTTATTGTGCAGGTGAATTGTCAGGGGGGTCTGAAGAAATGCTGGGTGGGGGAGAGGGGGGAATCTAGGAGGAGTAACAACATGACAAAGGTCACTGGACAAGCTCTAGTGCCTTGTCCCTGTGAGTCACCTGGCTTGAGGGTAGACCACTCCTGGGAATGTCACAGAGTTGAAGTAGCACGAATCCACGATTTTACAGTAGATTAACTCAATTTAAGTAGAATTATGGATAAAAATCATGCTGTCTTTATTTTTTATTTTTACTCCAGAGGAAGCTATGGGAAAGCTCGTTCATACTTTAAACCAAGGCTTGCACAAAGGTAGATAACAACCATTTTATGAAATCATGAATAAGGTGTTCTTTAAACTTTATTGTTAAAATAAAATTTTATTATAACTGTACTAGAGCCATATTTATGATCAGTAACAGTCTTAGGTTGTAAAGCAATCTTTTATTATTATTTCTGATGATGAATTTTTTTACAGATGCTTTGATATTTTGGACAATCCCTGGTTTCGTTACCTTATCATCTGGAATTCCCTACTACATTCCTTTCTTATCTTCTTTGAACCTCCAACCATTCAAGTGTCAAGGTGACTTGGTTGAAATGCAATTCATTTGTACTACAATTGCAATCATTTGTATTTTCTTGTCTATTATCATCATCACTGTTCTCATTACCAAGATTAGACTAGTCACTGCCATCATCACTATTATCATTTAAAGGGGCATGGCTAGAGGATTAATATTTTGTGAATAAACTCTCTTTTTTTGCAAATAATGCCTCTGAATGTCACGGTGTGTTTGTAAGTGCCATAACTTTAAGTGTTGTAATGTAATGCAGGGTGAATGTAGAGAATTCTATGACTAAGTATCTTAATGCTTATAAATGTAGTAAATGTAAGTAGTATTCTTTGTGTGGTTATAATTAAAAAAATAAAATAAAAAAGTGAAAACTAGCTAGAGGGATTCCTAGGGTGTACATACTGACAAATCAGTGTGTAATCATACTTTCTGTTAATGCCCCTTAGGTATAAAATTCTAGACAAATTTCAGTTTCTGAGGGACTGTGTACCTACCCCTCACCTTACCCAATATTAGGGGAGGGGTCAGTGCGCACTTGTTCAGACACTGAAATTGAACCAAAATTTCTAGCCACAAACTCCCATGAGCATGGCTTGTATTAGGAAATGAAATAGAGGAAAATTTATGGAGGAAAAAAAAAACTGCTTGACCATCAAGATATTGCTTGAGACTTTCACATCGATGCTGGAGAAATTACTCTGATCTCCAAACACTTTCAATTGATAATTCACATGGTGTTCTACTGCTTCCCCAGAGTTCATCCATTTGTCTACGTTTTGAATATGTCCTGTATTATGCTGTTCATGTTTGATCTTGTGGTGCACATTATCTTTTTGACGTGGCCTGTGTTCTGGTCAAGACGCACCGAAGGAGGCTGGTGGAATGGGTGAGAATTTATTTCACTGCTTGTCATGATTTAAAAATTTAAAGAATTAACAGTCATGCAATCGACTAAATGAGTAAAGAAAAAAAATGTATTTTTAAAAACAAAGAACTTGATCTGATTAATTTATTATAATCTTCCAAAAAGATCACAGTAGAATGGCTTCTGCTAGATGGACAGTTACTGGAACATAACACAATTTTTCCTTTGTTAACCTTGGCATTTGCTGAGGCATAGCATTTTTTGCAGGGATTTATCTTCACTTAAAAGTCGAGAATTTCCTAAGGAGATAATCTGGAGTGCTTTGAGTTAATAATGCTGTGACAGTCATGATAGTGCGGAAACTGCACGCACTGCAAGTACCTCCTGTTGTTTGTCATAAATCCTTAGAAAACTGGACAACCAGAGGCACTTACAGTGTGTGACTGGTTTTTGTCTTGTCACAAGAGTTTCATTATTATTAGTATTTTTATTTTTTCATTATTCAGGGTTGAATTTGTACTAGTTTGCTGTTTCACTGCGGATTTTGTGTTGCTGGTAATATCCAGGTTTTTAGGAAAGGTAAGTTGAAATACTAAAAATGCTCTTAACTTGCATTTATTTAAATGCCTGATGAAGTCTTGTGTTTGAAATTTTATGTAACAACTGCATTTCCCTGATTCTTTCTCCACAGTATATACCACCCATTTTTAGATCTTTCAGATTAGCACTTATTTTGTGTAAAGTGAAGAATATTCAACATATTTTTAATGTGAGTATTCCCAAAGTAGATCAAATTTCATATCTGAAAACAGTAATGTATGGAAGAAAATTGTCAGCAAATGTCATTAATTGTGATTTCTAAGACACCTTATTTTATGGCAATAGATGAAAATTTGATTCTTGTAAGCAAGTTATTTTGTACTTGAGAATGAAAAGATCCTTATTCCATGCATTCCCATGTATGGTATGACATTAAACTTAATAACTTTCTTACAGTATTTTTTGGATATCTTGCATATTTTTCAGGTATTAATGACAATTGGTTTCAAGCTTTCAAAGGTAACTGTGTCTTCTTTGGCTGTTATCATGCTTACTCTGAAATCAAATATTTTTAATAATTCAGACAAGGTTATAGCACCAAGTTGATGGAGTGGCTTCCCTTATGGGATGTGGTAAGTCCTAAAGAGGTCTTCCGGTGTATAGCCAGGTGCTTTTCCTCAAGTTTCTTAGTATTTTGTTGACAGGTGTCTGGAGGTGGGGTGTGGCCAGCAGCCATTTGATTTTTTCTCAATAACGAAAAGAGATGTCATTAACATTTGATTCATAACTCACCACAATAAGTCAGTGTTCTTTATCATTGACATGAATGCATCTTGAAGTGATTAGTTGTTCTACCTGTGGGTTTAAAGTTGAATAAATATTTTTCCCAGTGTTTAACATTGAATTTTTTTTCTTTTTCTAGTTATTTTTTATAATTCTAGTATTTGTTCTAATGTGTGCCTGTATTGGAGTTCACATTCTTATGGATGCTTATCAGTGCAATGGTCCTTTGGATAATTCATCGTCTACAACTTTCCATCACGGGTGAGATGTTTGATTTTACAGAGATGTCATTCCTTGGAAATGTGTAGACTGGTGGTGTTAGATTAAATGGTTCATTTCCCCACACCCCTCTGAAGGTGAAGGCTTGGGTCTAAGCCTGAGTCCAAGTCCTGCCTTGCATCATGTTGTTTTCTTGGGTAAGACATTTCCCCAACCCTCCCTCCCACCCATCCCACAGCACACTGTCGAGGGGGGGTGGAAACTGAACAAATTAACCTTCTCACTTCTTAGAGAGATCAAGACTCACTTTCTCCTCTTATTATCAATTCAATATCAAGCAGATGGGAGATGAGAATTAAGAAAAGTATCAACCAGGCAATTGTTATTTGACTAAGCACCACATTCTCGAACAAACCAGCATGGGGAGCATTTTTCATGAGATTTGTAGATGAAAGGGTTATGCCAACATTACAGTGTACCTTCTACCAATGACTCAACACTGTGTTTCTTACATGACAGAGGCTGTCAAAGTGCTCTTACCAAAAATCAGACAATCAGATTGCTTTATTACTAGTCCCACACTTGGTTTCTGATGTGTGTTTGTTGCTGACACTGTGTATTATCTTTAGGAAAAGAGTTCCGTGTTATGTACGGAGTGAAGAAAAAGTGTACCATGGGTATGAAATGACTATCATTTAGTGGCCCTGAAAATATCATCACAACTTTTGAACTTATAGTCACCAACAATTATCCTTTGTTCTTCTTATAAAAATCATTAAATATAAATCAGGGCTTGACACTTATGGTAGCCAACTAGCCACAGACTATAGAAATTCAGTTTTGGCTGGTGGCTTTTGATTTCCACCAGCCAGTTTGGCTAGGAAACAAACCGAAATTGTTGTAACATCTAAGCTGTCACTAGCAACTTGGCTAGTAAGTTGAAAAATTAGTGTCAAGCCCTGTAAATGGTTAATAGAAATACTTTTGCACACATTTGAAGTCTTCTCATTTCCTTGTCACTCTGCAGGATGTTGATACCATTTGCACACACTATCTTCCAATTTCCTTAAGATAACAAAATAATATATCTATAACTTGCATGTGTTATAGAGATGTTCTTTTTTTTATCTGCCTTTGTAGGGCTTTTGATGATGTGGCATATGGAATGCTGAGATTGTTTGTTCTGCTATCAACTGAAAATTTCCCGGTCAGTACATTACTGAAGTGCTGTACCTCAAATACACCTGTCATGCCAGTGTGACGTGCATGCACTTAGAAGATCCTCATAGGTCTGTTAATGATTTTTGTTGTCTTTGTTGAAACAGGAGGTGATGCTTCCAGCCCTTAGAGTGGAATCAGCATATTTTGTTTATTTTGGTAAGCTTTGGACAACTTATTTTTGAGAAGTTTGCTCCACAGGATATTTTTTTTATGGTGAATTTGTTATCATTATAATTAAAATTTGATACATTCTTTAAAATTTATAGGGCTGTTTGTATTTGTTGGTGTGTTCTTCCTCACAGCAATCCTACTGGCAATTGTGGTGGACAGCTATTGGTATGTTATCACTATTTTAGGGTGTCTACAGCCGTATCCAACGTTAACCAGTTTTTTTCTATGTTTATCAAGGGTTTATTCCAAAAAGCATGTTAAGAAAGAACGTTCCAGAGAGAGAGCTGAACTGGCAAAAGCTTGGAATCTTTTGGATCCTCTTGGAAGGGGTAAGTTCGCTGCTTTTCCCATGTCAGTCAATAAGTGGATCCCATCCATCTACCATTCAAATAAATAATCAGGGCTCGACACTAATGGTAGCCCACTAGCCACAGACTAGTAGAAATTCAGTTTTGGCCAATGGTTTTCGATTTCCACAAGCCAGTTTGGCCAGTAAACAAACTGAAATTGTCACAACATCCAAGATGTCACTAGCCACTTGGCTAGTAAGTTGAAAAATTAGGGTTGAGCCCTTAAGAAAATGATCAGACTAATCAATCATTAATTGATCGATTTAATGATTGGTTGCTTTGACGAAAGGCTAACACTTGAAACGTCAGCTCTTGAAACTCTACAGGGGCCAACTAACATTATCAACTCAGATACAATGTATGTATGAAGTTCATATATTTATTTAGTATAATTTCAGAGCTGAGCAAAGAGTTTCCAGCAATCTGATTAGTCGAGCGGTTCCTTACATGACGCTATATAACCCGCTCCACGCGGTTTATATAAAATGTTAAAATAAAAAGTTAATAAATGTTACTAAAATGTTCTAATTTTAGAAATTTCTCTGTTGTTCAGCTCTGAAATTATACTAAAACAATTATTCACCTCAGGTTCGGTGAATATTGTCGAATAATCCCCTCGACTTCGTCTCGGGGATTATTCGACGATATTCACCTCGCCTTCGGCGAATAATTGTTAAATATACATTGTATCTGATTTATCATCACGGGTTGGATAACGAATCAACTTAACGGCCTGCTCCCAGTTGGCTTGTTAGCTCAATTGGTAGAGCGCTGCACTAGTATCGCAGAGGTCAGTGGTTCGAATCCCGTACAGGCCTGAATTTTTTTCA